ATAGCTTCATTTTTTCGTCAGCTTCAAGATTTGTAGATGTAGCGATAGGAGAAGCGAAAATAAACCAGCAACGGATTTGGGTTTTCCAAAATGGCAAATTTGGTGCTTAAAGACGTGCCAATCTCATCTAGGATTAGGGGGCACGAAGAAGAAACAACCTCATCAATCATAACAAGTCTTACTCTACTCCAATCATCGAAGACTTCATTAATCTTCGCCTCTGAAAGTCTTCGAAACCTTCATCTTCAAGTTGAAAGATCTCGCCTTCGCACAGATCACAAAATGGCCAACGACTACTACAAGTACAACCCTTCGCTTCCTGCGGCAATCATCTTTACAGTCTGCTTTGGTCTGTCCACAATTGGACATGCCTTTCAGATTGTGAAGACGCGAACATGGTACTTCATCCCATTCTTCATCGGTTGCCTTGGTAAGAACTTTGAAGTACACCCCTGCCTTTAGGCATCACTAATATGTACGACTCTGCAGTTGAGATCATTGGTTATGCTGGACGCGCGATCAATGCTACCGAGACCCCTAATTGGTCAAGAGGTCCATACATCATCCAAGCTCTCCTCTTGCTTCTTGGACCTCCTTTCTATGCAGCATCGATCTATATGATCTTCGGACGATTGATCACACTGCTTGATGCCGAGAAACATTCACTCATTCGAGTCAAGTGGATTACCAAGCTGTTTCTCCTTGGAGACATCATATCGATTGCCGCTCAAGCTATTGGTGAGAGATGGAGACTGCCATGATGTATGAAACCTCAACGGCTAATAATTTCTTCAAGGTGGCGGCTCTCTTGCGGGTGCTGATACAAAGGCGCAGAGGGATCGCGGGCAAATGATCATCATCATCGGCTTGGCCATTCAGATTGCTTTTTTCGGGTTCTTCATGATTGTCACCGCCTTGTTCCACTACCGTATCAAGCGTGAACCCACCTCGAGGAGCTTGTCGGTCTCGACTCCTTGGCCAAAGCTATTGATGGTTCTCTATGGAACAAGCTTGCTCATCATGGTCCGATCCCTCTTCCGAGTTATCGAGTATGTCATGGGGGAAGATGGGGAACTCCAGTCAAAGGAGGTGTACCTTTACATCTTTGATGCCCTTTTGATGCTGATTGTGTCGGGGGTTTTCAACTGGTTCCGCCCTTCCCGGATTATTAACAAGTCACATGGCGAGATCGTTCCCAATTCGGACTCCGAGAATCAGCTTGGTAGCTATCCTATGGATTACCGAGGGGGCGTGCGCAACGACAATGTTTCTCACACAACCGAGACAAGCCACTACTTGCGCAAGTAAGGCTTCTTCTAATCATCAAACGCATTAGAACTCTACTTCTGCGAACTGATGAGTTTCATCAGATTGGCTTCACGAGAAATGTAACGGGGTCAATGGTGGGTGGAAACACCCTCGTGGTCATGATGGGTTGGGGGAGTTTCATACCTAGACAGCGCTGAGATTTCTGAGGAAGGGAGTTGCTTGGTTTCATTTTGTTTCCGCATCGTTGAAGTCGTTCTAGTCACACGTAATTTCGAGAGATATACATAGAGATTTCGTGCTAGCTAGAGTATGTAGTACAGAAGGATCTGCATCTACCTTGCTAATCTTACACCCAACTTATTTCATGATGCAATTGTTGAGTGATGTGACAAGAAATCCCCGATTTACCCAAATTTTAGGAAGGAGTCTTACTCCATCTGTTTCTTGGGGGCAATCAACATGGGATGACGGTCTGGACCGCTTCGGGCCAATGCCGGTGGCAGCTGTTGGACATGGAATGGTGAACTTTGCTCTCTCGGAGCAATATGGAAAAGAGCTCGATTATCCCCGACTTGGCATGTCAGCTTCCGACAGCTGTTTGGAGACAATGGACGTCGGACTACATACTGGGCCCTGTGGGTGACTTGGCGTGCCAAGTACAATCAAAGCTGCAAGAGACCACGGCTGTTGCGGTTGTTGCTTCACCTAGATCGACAGCTGATCACTCTGCGTCACGAAGCTTCTCGCGTGCTCATAGCTTCTGGGATCATAGCTTCTCACGGCTTGGCCGACAGCTTGTTTTTGAGAAAGCTGAAATTATAGTTGAGAAAGCTACTTGCGATCTGCCGAGTTATTAGCCCAATTATACGTCTGGCCTCCTTTGGTATCCCGTCAGTCTCAAGGATGAACCTATCACGGAAGCAGACTCTGACGTTTCTTGGTATCCTACGAAGCTGCCAATGAAACGTTAGACCTGACAGCTTTCTCGTCATGTTCTTCCGCGTAAAACTACCAACTCAGCATCGCTTATTTATTAATAGTAGTCAGTACTGCGAGGGCATTCGGAACGGGCCGTTAAGCTTTCCAAGGTGAAACAACCAACGGGGTAGACCCTAGAACGACGTTGAATGCCTGAAAGGCCAAGCCCCCGAATAACCTAATTCCTTTGCTGGCCTCACACCAAGACAGGGTGGCTAATGTTGCCCGAGACCTTGAGAATGGAGACGAACCATGTTGGTGGGATGAGGCTACTCTGTATGTACTGTAGAGTAGGATGCATTCGGGCATCAATAAGACACCGTCCGGACGTGATTTCCGCTCCGTCGGAACCGATTGCAACGGAGCTCCAACTCTACTGTGCGCTCCCCGTGTACCCACCCTTCATCGGCACAACTGGGCCGGGAAACTGGCACACGGAACGTGGCGCAGGACTGACAGCTCTGACCAAGGGCCCCTTGCTGCGCTGGATTCCGCCTTGAAGAGCACTTGAAAGTCGCCGCCCCCAAATTTGCCAAGACTTGCCATCTATCTAATTTTACACCAAAATGTTTGATTTCCCCGCAACTGAGCGAGTAAGATTAATACCAAGCTTGCCTCTTCATCACATGAAGCCAACCTCCGCCGATTGTCACATCACGATGTCTTGGCATTTTTGATGCTTCTTGGCCCTCGCGCCGATTTCCCGATCAACTGCGAAAGGTAAAGAGGCGCTTGGCTTGGCGCACGCCACTTCGTTGAATTTTGCCTTTTCATGGGCTCAACCAAAGCTACAATCGCGGCTATTATCAGTCTTTCTAGGCGCTGTTTCGATTATCGTGGAAAGTTGCTGCCAAGGCCATTTTGACTTGGCCACGCCAGGCCTTCAATCACAACTCACAACCTGGCAATTGACCTAGGCTGTTGGAGTCAGCGCATGTAGGTCAGCATCGTCTACGACATGAGATTCTTGGCGACAAAATAAGATATGCTAGCCAAGGCAGATTCTCAACTGAGCCAGACAGCACTACGAGCCTGGTGCCTCGGCGCCGCGTATGCAATATCTCTAGGCGGTCACCAACATGTGAGAGACTCATGTGAGAGCCTCATGCGAGAGCGTCGGGCCACAGCAATGGACATTGATGCCATTCGAGGTCAGCGAACCTGATGTGTCGTCTGCCACGGTAGCGGTCGAAACGCGCTCCTGAGTGGTTGTTGGCATGATGGCTCTTTCGACTGCGAGACTGAGAACGCTCGGGTTTACTGTCTACTGTCGACCGGGAGATCTGCTTCTTGACAATGCCGTAACTCGACTCTAGCAGTCATCTAGCAGATCATTATGCAGCTATAGGCAATGCATTGGAGATACTGAACTTACGGTTGTCCGATGGGCTGTTGACCCTCAACTGGTACCTTGTTGGCAACTTGTCATGCACCAGCACTATGCCGTCAATGACTAATTCAGAGATTTGATCCTTAGATTTTTATATGATTTCACGTCTTAGTTGTTTACGTACAGAACAACGCCTACTTACCTAAAGTATGATAAGGGAAAAAGCGACAGTGGAAGTATTGGAAAACACCAGTCAATGATTGTTCGCTTCGTCCATACCGACAATAGCCTTGCTATTAGTTTGCATATGATCGTGGCAAGACCCGAGTATCTCTTTGCAAGACTGGTATGATCTTCACATCTTAGATTTGGGGTCGAAGTAAAGGATTTCATGAAGTCGCCTTGCCCGATCAGTATGCGTCCGTGTCTGTATAAGACTCGAAGTCAATATGAATGGTATCTGGTTTAGTGAAGCATATTTTTGGATCCTACATCATTGCTAGTCAACTACTATGACCTTGATGAGTCACTTAAAGTGCAGCCAGGAGTAAGGATCTCGGTATTATAGTATATGGTCGACGCTCTAGCTACTATCAGTGCCTGATCGAGTCCGTAGTCTGCGCCAGCTTGCGGATTTGTGGTCCAAGTCAGTCTAAAGTATTCGTAAGGGTTCCCAGGCATTGCACCCAGAATGAGTCAAGAAAAGCATTATCTCAATGAGAATCAACATCTACGGTGTCACATGAACAGTCTTGAGAGCGATTCTGTACGCTTTCCTTAGAGAAGAATTGGTCGTACGCATGGTCAATACCTTGCATCGCTACAACTCAGTCGCTAAGTTGCTGTTTCTTTCACAGTAGTCGTTCTCGTTTTCGTTCTCGTGGTCCGCCATAGCTGCGATCATGCGCGCTTTCAACCATCAAAAGCACGAGGCAGGCCTTGGTCTTTCGTCGGACCGTTATTAGGGTTCCAAGAACATCAAGGAAATTAACTTCGTGCCCTCCGTCGCAAAATGATGAAATTTGAGCTGCGTCTGGAATTCCAACTATAACGGACTCTTCACGATCATATTCTTGAGCCAGCGAAGCCTTTACGACAATGGCTAAAGCACAGTCCACTCGTATTGAGCTGAGGAACAATTAGCAACACCATGGAATGAGCTATAATCTCTAGGACGTAGCAGAGCACTAATGGGCTCTATTTTTGCTCAGTCTCAGTTCCGAACCCATCGGCGAGTCTAAAAATCGAACCTTAACACGATCAGCATGCGCGTCCATCTGCGAGATACTATCCGCAGCTCGTAGCCTCTCCCTAGATTCCGCATCGAGTCCATGGGCTAGCCCTGCCAGTGAACTTCCTCTCCAGGCCGGCAGTCCCAGTCGTCTTGTTTCAATAATCGAAAACAGGCAGAACAAACAACCACCTAATAATGCTACCATTGGAAGAGACAGAAATCCCCAACGTACGCGGATATGAACGACCCATTGCAGTGTCTTGCCCTCCAAAGGCTTCTCTTCCAGAGAGAGATCACGTATATACTTTGTCAACCCAGCCGCTGCTGCCTCAAACATTGCCGTGAAATTCTGGGTTGCTCCTAAGCTTGTGATTACGTTGGGCTGTTGTTGTGGAACCTGAGGGGATCGACGTAGCGGCGGGTATACGAGCTGCTTCTTGCTTAGAGGGCTAGGCCGACGGGCGAACTGATTCGCGAATGCTCCAGTGATGCTTCCAGCAGCGTTTTGTGAGATATTGAATCGCAAGCTGTTTTCTGTGTTCAGACCGGTAGCGCCACGATACTCTTCCGGTGAAATCAACAGTTGGAGGTCGGTTCGGTTGAAGTCTGACTTGTCGTAATTCAAGGTGTAATTTGTGTACTCGTTGTATGCTTTTGAGAGCTGAGATTCGCTAGGGCTCTGGGAGAGGAAAGAATCGAGGTTTCGGTTAGTATAAGAGCCTAGAACAGTCTCTTCTAAAGCACCTTGTTTGATCGTGGTTTGGTACACATTCGCACAGAAATACAGAGCACACTCGTGTGCTACAACGGTCGCGTCCTCCCAGGGCTTCCTGCCTTCTCTGAAGTCGCTGCTGGACTCCATCATTGCGAATGATATTATGAGGGATTTCATGTCGCGGAAGTTGATTGTTTCTATTGGCTGGGTTGTCGCTTTCGCTGTCAATTCTGTACTTATGATCGTCTCATTGTCTTCCCTCAAGGCTGCTACCGCCGCCCCATCAATGTTTGAGATGTTCATTCCGAGCGCCGGGATCTCATACTTGATGTAGCCAGCCGTCACGTTGGGTATCAGATGTATTGAGCCTGACGAGATGAAGCTCACCATTGTAAGACTGTCATCTTCAGCCTTCATCAGGTTGGCTTTTCCGGTCGATTTGACAATGTGCTTTGAGATATCGCTGCATGAGCTGCATGTTGCCAAAGACGTATAAGGGGCCCAGGTGTAGTTGCCTGAGGGGCAAGTGAATGCCACCTTCTGGCTTTCGGCGGAATTGAGACTCGAGAAACCGGCCCACATTGCGGCGAGAGCGCCGAAGTCATACTGGGAAAACATTGAGATGCCAGTAATTGCTTCTCCTGGGAAGTCGGGCACCGTCAGTGCGACCGCAGCTCCTGAGATGCTAATATGAGAGCCGATGTCAAGTCTATCGGTCTTTCCGATCGTTGCCTTAGCGACAGGGTCTGAGAAAGAGATTTCCTCACCCTCGAAGTCGATAATGGCCTGTAAGAATGGCTCGAAGCCCACTAGAATGACTGTCGATAATGCCCCAAGAGCAATCCAGTGTCTAAGGTGAATGATGTGTTATCGTATGCCCTTGGAGGGTTGTCAAATAATCACATCGGACAGGGTGATGTGGCATACCTCAGCTTCGACCACCACAGGAGCCTGACACTTCCCCAGGGACCACGGCTAGCTTCCTCAAAGCGATCAAAGACCATGATTGTATCATCTCGTTTCCTGTACCGATTCCACTTTCCTTGACTGATGGATGCGCTCACAGCGAATGCCAGTGTTGCTCTTGATGTAGCTCCAAGAATTGATACCACGGTGTTGAAGGAGAAATGAAACGACCAAGATGCTAGGGGTTTATCGTTATAGAGAGGGAGGAGGATGGCAATAGCTACGAGGGCAGAGATGTTGAGCGAGATTGCGAGAGTCTCGAGTATCCAGTGATACTGACTTGTAGGCAAAATAGTAGTTGCCTTTCTCAAAAGATGTCGGCTGGATGTTTGGCTCGCATGCTCCATCATCGTATTTTGGTCAAGATCTGTGGACGACATCGACTTCAGATGTAAGAGGGGCTTTCTCTTGATGTGAAGCGGGTTTCGCGAGCCGTGAAGCCCATCAGTCGCCTCGTCGCTGATGGATAGCTGCTCTATAGGAGCGTGATATCCTGTAGGCGCATCATCTTGATCCAACTCAAACGAGCCTCTCTGTTGGACTGGTAAAGGTCGGTGATATGTCGACATCGCGTGATCGTGCAAGGACCTAACGTTTCCGCCAACACAATGGCTGAGAGACAATTAAGCTTGAAGAGAATGGGGGTAACAGCTAAATAATAATAGTTGGAGAATGGTGGGAGATCTGCAGGTCTGAAATTAAGACTTAGTTCAAGCCGACTTCTCAGCCACGATGCACACGAGTGACATGTAAGTGCTATGCGCTGTGACGTTTCCCAACAAAGACACACAACATTTATCTGGTTCAATTTGGACAGCGACCACTGGAAAAAGAAAGGCCCGCCCCCAAGGACATAGGTAAAGTAGGTAATCCGCAGTCGTACAAGCAGAGTAAGACGGAAGAGACACCGGCTCGCTTGCGTCAGATCGACAGCCATGTAGGCTGTAGCTAAATTGACTGGCCTCCATTTCGCCCCTGAAGCTGACGTTCCTCAGACATGCCTTGAATCTCTCAGCGCAAAGAGCTTTGGTGGCACTTGGCAAACATGCTGCCTAAATACAATCAGCATCCCACCGTGACCGAATCTGACGACAGACAGGGGCAGTCGACAGAGCTGAACTTCCGCGTCCTTCCTGGCGGCCAATAACGTGGATGCTTGCAGACAGGGGTCATCGGGAAATGGATGGCAGAGTGGCATCGTAAGCGCTAATGATATGCAGCTAGAGTATGGGTTTACGAATTTACTTTTTCGCTCCCTATAGTCACTTGATTCTATATGGTGCTGACTTCTTAAATTGGTGGACGGCTATCCTCCTCATGTTTTAAACCAATTGCACATGTCCTCTATTGTTTCGAGTAATTACAGAGGTCACAATGACGGCCGCGACAGAAAAGACCACGGTAGTCGTCCTCGCGACAGCCGAGAAGAACGCCGCCGACGATGAAGTCAGTCAGATATGGCTCGAAGTACAGAACAGAGTCATTCGCATGGCAGGAGGAGACCCATCGAAGATTGACAAGCAGCTTGACATTGATGGAGTAATGCGATATTTGGAACAGACTCAGGCAGCGGATCAAAAAGCAGCCGACAAACATGGCACCGTCAAGAAAGCGTTCAACAGAACTTTGAATTGTATCTCGAAAGTTGGAGGTATCATTGCTGATGGCGCTTCATATGTAAGATTCTCTACTATTATGAGACTGAGAGGATTCGTGCTAATTGACGGCTCTTTTTATTTAGGCCTTCGCCCCGGCAAACACCTGTTTCAACGCCCTCACGTTTGTGATTGGGGCATGGCAGTCATACTCGGCGGTTTTCGAAAGTCTCGCGGAACTGCTTGAGAAGTGTGCCCAGTTTCTCGAGCGTCTGCCATACTATGATGGAATGGATGCTTCTCTGAGAAAAGTGGCTTGCTGTCAACTCAAACTTTTCATCGACGTTTGCGATCGCACTCTTCAGCTCAAGCCGAAAAGACGCAAGATCGAGATGTTTTTCCGCCAACTTTTCCTGGATGACGATTTCATCAAGGACCTTCTCGGTCAGATGGAGAACTTGACCGCTAGAGAGCATAGACTCGTTTCTGCTCAATCGCTCAAAGCTGGCCAAGACGCTGCCAAAGCTTCGAAAGAGAGTGTAGTCAAACTTGACACTCTCATTGAGAGCAGTGTGGCGCAGAAGCAAGACAAGTTAGACCAACATTTCAAAAGCAAGGTTCAAGAAGTTTTCTTCGGCAAAAACGCAAAAGACTTCGACACGTGGGATGCCGCGTTACGCAAGAACAAGAGCTTGCTTCTCAATGGCACTGGGGAATGGTTGGACGATGATGCTCTATTCACCTCGTGGATGACGGGCAGCAACGAAGCGAGTCCGATCCTCGGGATTGAGGGTGGGGAGGGCTCTGGGAAAACCCTTTTGGCAACTCATATCATTAGTCGACTACAGAAATACAGACAGTCGAATAATTCGAAGAGCAGGTCGGCAATTGCGTACTACTTTCTCGAGGAAGATTCCAAGGACAACTCCAAGGCCACATTCAAGAAAAAGCATGTCGCCGAAGTGGTGTCGAAAAGTGTCCTATGGCAGTTGGCTCAGATGGAGCTTCCGTACCTCAAGTCCATTGCTGGAATCTGCGACAAGGTGAATACCGAGGATCCATCGGACATCTGGAACAAACTATTGCTAGATAACGAAGACCGCCCGGGCATCGAGAGCACGTTCTTCATCGTCATAGATGGACTTGGCGACAACATCGATGGGCTCGCTGGTCTTTTACAGAGAATTTCAGCTGAATCACCTCGTCTGCGCACGCGTGTGATTGTTACGGGCAACCAACGTACTTTTGACGTGCTTGAGGAAGCGGGAGACATGAGGGTCACCAGAATGAAACTCGGTTTCCGAAACTCCATTGACATTGAGCTATACATCATAGCCAGAATGGACGCAATGGAAACATTGAATGACGCCAGTAGGGCCGGTGTTGCCGAGACTAGAACGATGATTCTATCAAGGCTCACATTTGCGACCTCCGGCGACTATTACATCACGAACTCTGCACTAAGCACCATTGAGGGTGTCGACTCTTTGTCCGAAATTGAACAATGCCTGAACGAAGTTGGCAGCGCCAGACCCAAGCAGATTCTTGCCGACATCAAAAAGCTCCACTTGACGCTGAAGTCAGCCGAGATCGACGAAGTCAATGAAATAATTATATGGGTAAAATGGGCAAGGAGATGGATGTCTCCTCTCCAATTGGAAGCTGCCATCCGATTGAATTTGAATTTGGAGGCTTCCAGTCAGGTCTCCCTCCGATCTTTGGAGTCTAAGATCCGGGAAAAGTATTCTCTGTTATTCAAAATTGAAGAAAACCGGGACGTATCCTTCAGTGCGGAAGAAATAGGCGAGATCATACCTGTGAAGAGGTATCAATCAAGTGGCACAGACTACGGCAGCGAAGAGCAGATCTCACCTGCGGAGATCAAAATCGTCAAACATTACCTATCGACGGTCTGCCCATCAGATGTCTACGATAAATTTGGGTTCGAAGAGTTCTTTTCTCAGAAACTAGAACGCAAGACCAAGTATATCTGCCAGGATCCCGATAACTCTCATCTTATCCTTGCGATGAGGTGCCTGCACGGCATATTGGATGGACGGTCTAACATGACACCTGGAGCAGTCAAGTTCCGAACCTACGCCTCAGATTGGCTGTTCGATCACTTAGAAGAGACTGACCTCTCCCGGGCTGATCGCGATCTCAAAGCGCAAGCCGGAGAGCTTTTGGCTCGCCTGTTCACGGAGGAATCTGCCATCAAGACTCTCCTTTCAAGAGACTATGGCCCTGATATGGATGCGCTGTGCGTCATAAGCGATATCTTGATGCCTGGGAACTGGAGAACTTGGGTATTCTCAAACAGGGGCGCAAATCTCATGAGCAAGTGGTCTGACGACTCAATGGTTATGTCAAAGATTCGAGACCGAGAGAATGCACTGAGCACGCTGGGCAATTTCAGTGGAATTGGTGGGACGAGCTGGTACGAAACAGCAGCAAGAGTGATTGTCAAGGAACTGCTCGAGGTAACTCATTATCAAAACACCATGGCCGATGCGTTCAGTTTGCTCTTTGGGCTTGTTAAACGGGTAAGAATTCCCAACCCTATCAGAGATCTCGAGCCAGAAATCACCAGGAAACAAGAGGGCTGACTTTTGCAGTTGGAACAACACGAAAATAATTCCATGGCTGTCACACAGCCCGAAATCGACGACGACGAGGTTTTCCGGCCTACTATGACCGAATTCGACACGGTCGAGACATGGGCGAAGAAAGAACTTGGCGTTGAAGAGAATGATGCACACTGGGAGGCGCAAATGGCGAGGTTGCTATACTACATCGACATGCCGAAATATGAGTGCGAGAAGAGAGCCCGGAGAGCAGTCGAACTTAATCCTGATGATTGGTTCGCCGCTTATAATCTCACCCGCTCATTCGACGAGGATCGTGACGCCGAGGCGATCTCGGTTCTCGAGGAAATTGTTGAGAAACTGTCGAGTCATCCTCCCAGCACATTCAGTCAGCACGATCGGGAGTCATTTGCGGGTGTGCTGGAGACCTTGGGCGATCGTTATTGGAATATGCCCGACAATTCCGGTACAAATAAGGCATTCCATAGTTACCTCCAGGCCTTGGACCAGACTCAGGACCCCGCGGCCGGGAGCTACCGCCAATTCATTGCGAACAAGCTAGGACAACGCAGGGAATGGAAACTCATTATCGAGTTCTGCGAGAAGCTCCATTCATTCACTTTTGGTGGTATGAATCTGGCCAGCAAAATTCTCGGCGATGGAACCGTCTACAATACCCGGGAGTTCTGGTACGCGATGTGGAACGCATGCTACCGTACCGATTGTTGGGATTTGCTCGCGGAGATGTGGAGAGGCACCAACAAAAAGTCCAGTGACCAGGAAAGAGACCCGTATTGGAACTCCTATACAAATATGTGGTATGCCATTGGTTTGTTTCGTCGACCTGGCCATGAGGATGAAGGTGTGATGATGCTGGAAGGTATTTTCAAGGAGAACTGTCTTACCGAGCAAGTGCCATTCATGCAATTTGACGTTGCTTCTACTCTCCTAGTCGCCTACAACAACAGAGCTTTCGCCGAAAATACCTCGGCCGATACGAGAAAGATTTACGCCAACAAGACGGAGGGTTTGCTGAAAGGCCTTTATGAAGGCATTGCAACACCCGATCTCTGCCTGTTCCAGCTAGCCCGATTCTTCCACCTAAACGGAGAGCAAGATCGCGCCAGAGACCGTGTTACCATTTTCACAGCCCAGAGACTCGAGATGCTATCCGACGAAGATGTCAGCAATGATTACGATTCGTTCCGCGATCTGGCTCTTTTGTTCATCGCATTTATGGATGAGGCTAACATAGTCGCATGCTGGGAGATGATGGCTGTATCAAGATTCGCTGAACAAAAAGAGTATGAGCGTAAGATGGAACAATGGCGCAAGCAAGAGGAGCGACAGATTCGTCTAGAAAATGCTGCCGCTGCAAAGAGGAATGCCGGCGAGAACATAGAAGCGCCGACAATAGATCAGATGATCGAGGATCTGAAGGTAGAGAGCCCAAGGGAGAGCACAGAAGAGACGGCTGTGGAAGGAGGAGAGAAAGAGACTGGAGAGGGAACAGCAAAGAAGTTGTCGGAGGAAACAGAAGAGGCCGGGATTGAGCCCTGGATCGATATGCCGGAGATGCCCGATAATTCGATCTTCATCTGCTCCGAGCAATGCGGATTCAAGACTCATATTCCCATTGGTATCTGGCTCTGTACAACTTGCATCGTTGGCCCTAGTCTCTGCAACACATGCTACGCAGATATCGGGACCAATGGAGTCAGGGACATAACATGCGGAAAGGACCACAAGTTTTTCCAACTGCCTCCGTGCAGTAGAGCCTCGATCCAGGAGATTCCCGTTGGTCACATTAGGGTTGGCGGAGAGTTTGTTGCATTGGAGGCATGGAAGGCAACGGTGGATGCCAAATACGGGCCCTATGTAGAAAAGATAGCTGAGGCTGACGAGAAAAATAATTAGGAGGAAGAGGAATAAAATGAGGAAGGATGAGCAGGAAGGGTAAGTACAAAATGGGTGGGAAGAAGAGTAGGACAAATACCACGAGGAAGGGGGGAATCTTGTTTCATAGTGCTCAATCTCACGCTGGGCGTTGCTTTGGAGATTTTGAGTTTAGTCTCGTTACACATTACACTAATTCTGGTATCTACGCTATCAAATTCGAACATGATTCTCCCTCTAGCAAACGCCAGTGGGGATGGTGAAACCATCGCGGCGGGCAGAAGAGCTGTAGACAGCATCGGAACCCAGACCACGCTTCGCGAACGCGGTCCAGAGCTCGCACAGGTTGGATCCACCGGTGAGAGCTTTGTCGGCGTCGAGGATGGCGTCACGAGCCTGGATGAAGTTGGGAGAGCAGGGTTGCCTGGTATTGTTAGTCTATTGCCTGAAAGGAGTAGCAATAATGGGGATACGTACAGGGCCATGCCGTCGAGGACGAGCTTCAGGGTCAAGTATTTGCCATCGGTGGGGACACCGTTGGCGTCGAACTCGGGCTTGGGGCCGTCGTTCTTGCCGTGCTTGTCGATGAGGTTCCAGAGGACCTCGTAAAGAGTGGTGGCCCAGGTCTCACCGATGCGGTGGACGCTGGTGAGGCCATTGATGGTGGAGTAGGTGTTGGGGGTGGTGGTCATGGAGGTAGAGTAGAGAACGGTACGGATACCGGCGGGGTTGTTGTAGACCCAGGCGCCCATGGCGTAGTCGGTAGCACGGGTGTCGGTGGGCTTGAGACGGATGGCCGTGGCGAAGAAGTCACCCCAGCCCTCACCCATACCACCGGACTCGACGGCGTTCAGGCAGTTGGAGTTGGCGGGACCACCGGTCAAGCGAGTGGACAGACCGTGGGTGTACTCGTGGATGACGACGCCGGCCTCGAAGCTGCAGTCGCGGCGGGGAGTCGACTGGGTCCAGAGGTACATGCGCATGCGCCCGTTGGTGCCATCGGGGGGAGTGAGGAAGTTGGCATTGTTGGTTCCAGAGCCGTCCTGGGCGAAGAGGACGACAAAGTCGTTACCGGCACCGCCCTTGCCCTGGTTGTTGATCTGGAAGTTACCGGCGGCCTCGGTGAAGCCGAGAGTGTACAGCAGGTCGTGGTAGTGGTTGGCAGTGTAGTAGAGCTGGGCGATGGAGGCATCGATGTAGGCGGACGGGGTGGTCAGGCTGGTGGAGTACTCGTAGTCGAAGTTGTACGAGGTGCTGGTGGGGCGGTAGTTGGTAAGGTAAGCAGTGCCGCCGCTGGGGTTGGACTGAGCAATGCCGTTGTTGCCACGGGTGGTGGTGTAGTTGGCAGAGCCGTCGCTGTGCCAGGTCAAAGGCGAGGCAGAGAGATCCCAGGGGTCGGTGACCAGGACGCGGTCGCCCTCGGTGGGATCGTTGACACCCCACGGGTAGACGCGGTAGTTGGCCAGGTCGGAGACGTAGTCGACAACACCCTGAACCTTGGAACCGGTGGCCGCATCGACGTAGGTCAACAGCCAGTTCTCAGAGATGTCGGTCTCGACACGCCAAGAGAGGGACAGAGTGCCGTCGGCCTGGATGAAGTAGACGAGCTTGGCCTCGGGGTCGGAAACAGCACCAGAGGTTCCCTTGATGGCGTAAACCTCAGTGCCCTCCTTAGCCTCGGCGGTGGCAGAAGCAGCCTCAACGGGGAGCTGAAGAATATCCTTTGCGCCGTTAAGGGCAGCAACGGGGTCCTTGAAGTCACGCTTCGTCAAGGGGCTGGCCTCGGGGAGGTCACCCTTGAAGAAGTTGTTGCCGTAGGAGAAGACCTTTCCATCCTTACCAATCTAGATAGAATATGTCAGTCGAGTGATACTTACAAGCAAAACAAAGGAAGTGTGTCTTACGTTGACGTTGAAGTCGGCATTGTCAATATCAAGCCCGTGAACAGTCTGCTTGAAGTTGACGTGGCCAATGCCGTTGGTACCAACATAGTTGTCACCAACAACACGGAACTCAGCGTTGGGCGCAAGCTTCTTGACGAGCTCGGTGGCGGTGTCGACGTAGTTGGCACGCTTCAGGAGCGCGATGGGCGGGGTCGCCTCCGTCTGAGTAGCGTTGGTGTAAGAGCCAAGCTGGGGAAGACGGAAGGCCTCGATATCGACGCCGCGGCGGCCGATGTTGTGGCTGGTGGCCGGATGGGCAAAGACTTGCGAGGTCGGGCCCAGGAGGCCGATGAGGGCCAGGCTCTTCATGGAGCGATACATGGCGGGCGGTCGAAGGATGAGAGAGGTGCGGGAGAGGAGGGAACGAGGGGCTGGGGACTTGGGAGTGCCTGACGAGCTCCTTTCAAAACATCAGAAATCGAGGGATTCGTGATCGATTTAAGTATCTCATGATGTTTGAGGCCCCAGAGGAGCTACCATTGAACTCGAAGGGGCCGGTCTCCGACTATCCTCTCGTGCCCCTCAACGCAGCCAAGGAGCTTCCTCTTCGGAGGTGCATATTACCGAATGCCCTGCTGCAGAGGCTGAGTTGCAATCAAGCAGTAAGACCAGGCGGGATACGAAATGGGGCCTCATGATCGCTAGCTCGTGGTCAAAAGGATTACTCCGTAAGACAATTGGAGCTCTATCCAGGAGGTTGTTGGCGATACGGGATCCACGATACATGGCGAGCGCGACTCGATATGCTTGCGTGATCCGCCAGTGGTCTAGGGGCCGCATCTCCAATACCAAAGCTCGCGTTTATCGGATCTTTGCGTGAGAGAAGAGGGAAGGTCGTTTTCTTGCCATCCTTGAGACTGGGCAGCGGGAGGGTTACATTAATGCTTCGTTTGCGCCGTTGGCGTCTTGGCGACGGCTTAGCTCGCAGTTGTTTCTTGGCGATATGGGGGATTCGGCACTGGGCAGCAGGTGTTCGGTTTGAATTTCTCCATGCTCTCTGCAAACCAAGAGCGCCACCGCTCTAGAAACGTGTAACGGCGTAGTGAAGACCGAACTTCAAGGGTCCAAGATATTGGATGAACTATTCGTCACTGGAAGTTGGTTAGTAAGCTTCTTTCCCAACGTACAATCCATGCGGCTCAGAGATGGACGTCAAACTATCCGTCACTTAGAGATAAAAAGGAAAGCTTAAGCATAAACCGAGTCGTGGTCATGCACAGCGTTGCACCGCGGAGGGGCTTCCCTCATCGCGTGCCTCTGACAAGCGCGGTGAGCGCGAAGAGCTCTATCACGTAACAAATAAACTCTGCAAATCATCTCGGAGAAAGGCCCCGCAGAGCCCGCAGCGGGATCGATACCTTAAACTGCAGTTCAGTCTGCGCCGCTAGCAGATATTCTCCAGGCAACTAGACCATGGTCCTTTTGTCTGGTCGAGTCAGACTCAATGCCGTCCTTTTTCAGGAACCGCCGTCAATGCGACGCTTAGCGTAGGTAGGTGAGATTGAGAATGGATTAAGAATGAGGGGCACGCGATTTCACCACGACTCTCCGAGTCGCTCGCTATGACCAAAATAACCAAGGCTTGCTGGACTTTTTGTGAGTGGGGGAGGAGGAGGGGACCTGATCCCGGGACCTGTCAGCAATCGAACAATTATGTTGTCATGACAAGACCTCAGCTGCCAACTCTGGTCAATTCTGCATCTCAACGCAGAAGGTCGAAACCGCAAGGCAGACAAAATACATCTTTGAAAAATTGACATGCTGTAACAAAAGAACTTATTCGTCGCGAGGGGTCAACAGGCGCCCATTTGCGAAAATAATTACTACGAATAGAGGAGGTAGTAATCTCAAAGCTTGACTCTTCGCCCGTGTCACTTTCTTAATAGAGGAGCACATGGCCAGAGCTCTCTGCATGCGGGCGGATACGGGAATGGCAAATCGGGCAGATGAAGTGATCATCCCGCCGGCTGAGACATTTCGCCATTCTAGTTCAATCTTTTGTATTTGTACGAGATACGAGATATCCATTATCAACAGACTCGCCTTTCTCAATCCTTCAGACATACCATTTGCTACAGCGTCCAACCCCAAAAGTTGACGGAGCCCAATGAGCCAACTCCTCCCCCCCGGTCCGCGTGATGGTCTCGGCAGATGATGCCTGTATTCCCTGTCAGTATTAGCCGCAGACCTGCCTGTTCGGGGATCGCTCCGCTAGTGCAATGGGACGACCTTATCGATCTGGTCTTCATATCCGGGCGTGCCTTGCATGGACCACCGCTCAAGTTCTCAACCCCCAAATCCCCTATTCCCGCATCTGCGCAGTGAGGCAACTTTCGGCTACCTGACTTGGGCAAGTGGAAAAAAGAGAATGGCAGAGCTATCAGCACACCAGTTGGGGTAAAGACGGCTAATGGCACTTTCTGCTTGAAGAAGGCTACAAGATTCGTAGACTGCCATTCGACTAATGCGGTACCAAGCCATTAGCCAACAGTCGCCAAGAGGCTTGTGCATTCGCTGTTGGAGTGAACCCCATCTCCTTCGAGAAGGCGGTTCGACGTGTCTTGGGCAGACTTAGCCACTCAGCTGAACGATTCGGTCCATGCCGAAGTGATCCATGATGCGTTGATTAAATGACAGCTTGAGTGCAACGTATTGGGGCGGTACGTGAAGTATTGCGATCACAACGACATGGCTTGGCATTGAAGATGAAGCCATCGCGTTCTGATAAGGCACGTTTGTATATGGAAAAAGAAAAATATTGGAGTCTCTAGCAATTGCACAGAATAAGATGAAGCGAACAACTCTAAAAAAAAAAAATTAAAAAAAAAACCCCTGACAGACCGCGATAACTCCTGTAATTAGCAAATAACAATCTAACAGAAAGAATGGCAAATCTACATGTATCAAATGGCGCATGGAATCTGGATGAACAAGATCTAATGCCCCCTATCGACCCTTACAAATCCTTCAGTATACCACCGAGTAATCCAATCAACCCTTCCGCAGTGCTTTCAGATACCTTCGTCAAGGCTCCAAAGACTCCGATGTCCATTCCACCCGCGTTGATCGAGGCTTCAACATCGAGTGTGTCCTGTGAAATATTAGATAACATGTTTGTGATTAATTTCTGGCTGAATGGGGGCACATACCGGAAATACGTCTCTGACCGCATTGTTATTCAGCCAGCTCGCCGAGCAGTCTTCTGCATTGCTGCTACTGTTGCTGCTGGTTTCATCCGTCTCGCCGAAGTTTGAAATTGGCTCCAGCGAAACCCTGCTGATTTCCGGTACTTCACTGCTTTCGTCACCGAGGTGGAGAAAGTTGACAAAACAATCGATCTCGAGCCCGGTCCATTCCTTGATCTCCCAAAGTCCGACAGTTGCATGAGAGGAAATGTAATGCAAGTCTTCTTGGACACGCTTGGCGGTCTGGAGGACGTCGAGATCTTCTGTCAGAGACACCTTGAGTGGCACCAAGTTGAGTGTGGGGAATGTGTTCGCTAATTCCTCGGTCGATGATCTGTTGGCATAGTAGATACCAAAGACAATGTCTCTCGTTCCCTGACTTCTAAGCTTCTGAAGTGCTTTTGCTGTGGCAGCGAAGAAAAGTGCTGGTAGTCCTACCCCGGCCCGGGCAGAACATTCCTGGAGACGACCAACTTCCGGGACGACTGAGCGTTTGAGGAGAGATACTCGGCTCAATGACCCTGACATATCTTTGGGACTCTGGCTCGGCTTGAGGTTAACACCATCCAGATATTTCGACCAGAATGCCTTATCGTTCTGTTTGACTTCTCCAAGATGGTTCGAAGCAAGGAAAGACTTCCATGGACCCAGAGCAACTGCCAACTCAGAAGCTTCCGACTGAATTATTGCCTGCAACTTCTGCATGAGAGCCGGCAAGCTGAAGCCGTCGTACAGAGAATGGTGAATATGTAACTTCAGTGCCCACGACGCGTCGTCTTCTTGTGTCGCATTGAGTTGCACTTGCGGATAGCACTGTTCTGTTTTCATGGTTGAATCTTGTCCATCAACGACAATCCGTTTGTGAGGTCCATCAAGATCAGTTTGCAATATGATCTGGACGAAGGGCAGTGACCTTTCGCCCGTAGCGACCAAGCAAGTTCGGAGAATTGGCTCAGAGTCCACCAAGGCAGCCCATGCTGACTGCAGTTGGTCGATCTTGACAGACCCTTTAAGGCGATAAAAGAATTCGGGATAGAAAACACGGCCTCTTGCGTTCTGCCATGCGGAGACCATGTAGACTTGCATCGGGAGAGGAGCCAAAATATCCTCAATACATGACTCAGACAAGCCAGCGTTGGAAAGCAGCACTTGCGTGTCAATAGAGGTGGGTAGCTTGTATCTGGAGGCGATATCCTGCGTTTCTGGTGCAGCATCAAAATGGGTGGGAGTAGCTTGAATATGCCAGGCCATTTCCTTGATCGAGTTGGAAGTTAAGAGCGCGCGAACGCCAAGGTTGATACCCTCTTTGCGCAGAAGCGCCACAACTTTGATGGCGCTGATAGAGTCTAGGCCCAGGTTATAAAGGGTATGGCTCTTGCTAATTGACTTGACTTCTACGTTTGCTGATCGCGAGAGTACTCTCCGTATAGTGCTCTCATCCGGTGTCCACTCAGCATCGTTTCCAGATGGCCTCGTTCTTGGTGTTGATCCCGAAGACGAGGTCGTTGATGCTTTAGCGTGGAATTTTGGTAGTTGACAGATGGAAACCTGGTCACCCTCAAAGCAGAGAAGATTGTCTTCGGGTGTGTTGACAATGAACGTCAGAGCTCTGTCAAGCTGATGAAGTAGCTGCTGCGTGATGTTTTCAGAGACAAAGGCATCCTGTCCAGCAATGCGCCAAACGAGTGTGTCGGGGGTGATCTCCAACTCGGCACAGACAGCGAAGTCGGTTGCGGAAGACCCCTGAACAGACTTCATGATCTGGACGTTATCTGGTCCTGAGTTGGGGCTCTTTTGGAGGATGAAGAGAGTATTGAAGAGACGCCCGCCCGCAGCGCTCTGGGCTTTTCGCAGGGGATAGTTCTGGAACTCCGTGATATCGCCCATAGTCTCTTGAAGGTAGCGTAAGAAGCTCGTGGTGGAGCCGTGAAGGAAGCAACGAACTGCTACAGTGTTCATTGTCGGGAACATCAGAGCTTGCGATTGTTCGGAGTCACGGCCAGCAAGAACCACACCGAAAGTAACCTCAAGAGACTGGATTAGAGTCGCAACTACCGATGCCCAACACGCTTGTCCCAAAACCTGCAAGCTGACAGCATAGCGTTTGCAGAATGCAGTAACTTGCTCCTGCCTGACGCTCGAGACAGCCTCTGTTCGGTGCGTGGTGTCCCTAGATAGTTCGTCGGCAGACTGCCTTTCGGGCAGTAGGGACGGCTGAGTGTTTGCGAGATATTGAGACCAAAACTTTCTTGACTGGTCGGTTGGGGTTTTTATCAGGTCTCGTAGGAACGGCTCAGTTGGCGGGCGCTCAATTGATTGGCTTTGGTAGGCGGCAGCAATGTCTTGGTGTAGGAGGGCCAGTGACCAGCCGTCGTACAGAGCATGTGAAATCGATAGAATGAGCAGAGACCTTGAGCCAGTAGATAGGAGGGATAATTGAAGTAAGTTGCCTTGCCCGCTCGCGGCTAGAGCATTCTCCTTGTGGTGTTGGATGATGGTTTGCGGCTCGTTCTGACCATTTGCTTCATACTTGCACAAAGTCGGCAAGCAAGAGTTTGACTTCAGCACAACCTGAGCGAAAGTCTGTTCCACATCCGGATCTTCAATCTGAACGAATACAGTTCGCAGTATTGGTGACCTTTCCACGGTCTGCTTCCAGGCCCTTTCAAATCTGTAAAGGGCTAGTCCATCGGCCAGCTCCAAGATGTCATGATTGAAGTACTGGACAAAGTCTGACTGTAGCATGTCTGCCATCATAGACTCTTGCAGAGGGGTAGGAGGCAAGACAGCCTCTGCGTTGTCGAGGTTGAAATGAGTTGACTCGACTGCTCTCCATAACTGACCCTTGAGTTCATCAAAGCCTGCTTGGTAATCAACCTCAGCTAAAGTTGCCTTCTTATCGGTCAAGATTTTGGACATCGCAGCGATTGTTTGCGCGCGCATAAGTTGAGACAATGTGAGCTCGTAGCCGATGTGTTTGAGTCTTGCAGAGAGCTTGACGAGATCAATGCTGTCAAGACCTAGTTGAAGCAACGCCATGTTCTCTGTGATGCTGTCTTCGGAAGCACTAGCTAGGGTGGCAATCTCTTTCCTCAAAGCCAAAGCGGTTGAATTCCACTCAAAATCTGACAGGCTCAATTCGAGCTGGTAATCTTTCGAGGTCTCGCCATCAGTGGACTCTGGTCTTGATGTCAATGGTGTGCGAGGGGATGCCGCCGTTGAAGCCTCTCTGGAAGGATTTGCGGTAACAGGCAAAGAATAGGTGGCTCTGGATGTCACGTCGACCATGGCGTCATCAATCTCTTCGAACAAAGAGCTCATCGTCGCCTCGTCGGCTACGTCTCTGTGCGCGACGATCTGGACGCGCAACTGGCCATCTGGGGTCGCGGATGCTTCGAAGGCCAGGGGGTAGTCAGAAACACTGTAGTCGTCCATGATGGACCACATGGCAGATGGCTCTGTGGAACGAGGTGCCTCAATCTGGAACACGAACAGATTCTCGAAGATAGGACGGCCTCGAGATTTCGTGCACCATTTTTGAATGTTGCGCAGCGGTACGTGCTGGAATTGCAGCACGGAGGTGTTGAACTCATGACATTTCTGGATAAGGGACAACCAAGTGTCACCTTCTTTGAGGCCGGCATAGAATAAGAGTGTGTTGAACAGCGGACCGATGGTATTCTCAATCTGCTCCAGATCAATAGATCGGCCAGAAACGATGACTCCAGTAGCAGCGTTGCCTGGAAAGTGCTTCTTGAAGACGGAGGTCCACAGGGCTAGCACAACCGACTGCAGGGTGACGTTCAGAGATCTACGCAACGTCTCCAGATTGCGTGCCGAGTAAGTCTTGGTCTTCGTGATGATAGCAGCAGCATCTCCTGAGCGCAACCTCGGAATGGTGTCGAAGGAGCAGTCACTCAGATGCTCAACCCAGAACTGGCGGCTAGAATCGTAATTTGCCAAAGGACCATGAGCGAGGGTGTCCAGAAAAGGTGGAGATGTCTCGTGTTCTTTATTCAAATACTCGGCAGACACCCATCGAAGCATGGATTCGAAGCTCGAGCCGTCGTACAACGCATGAAAGATGTGGACAATAAGGACAGTCTCCTCGCCCAGTTGAGTAACAATCAGCTCCAGAGGATTTGACACATTCCTGCTGTTCTGATGTATTAGGTCTGGAAGAGAACTGGAGAGTAGTGGCTCGATCTCGGCGGGGCTTCGGTCACGGAAATCTTTCCATGAGAGATGAGAGGACTTGACTGCGACTTGAGCAAAACCAGCAGGTGTTTGAATGAAACTAGTCCGTAAGATCGCATGCGCTTTCACCATGTTTTCGCAGGCGTTCTTAAGCTTGGCAATGGACACTGCTGGCGCAAGCTTGAGGCGGAACGCAGTGAAGTAGGCACCTTCGTCCTGATCTGACATGAAGCGCGAAAGCATCCCTTCTTGAAGGGGCGTGCATGGCGCAACGTACTCGATGTCTCGATCATCTGTCAAACCAAGCTCCTGGACGGCTAAGGATCGGTATCTGTGTTCAAACGCATAGATAAGCTGGCGTGCTTCTTGAACGCCACTGCTTTCATTCGAAGACTGGCTCTCTTGCAGAGTCTCGGCCAAATCTCCCAGACACGGGTTTCGCAGAATGACCTGGGGCGACGCTCCAACGAGACCATTCTTGCGTAATTGGCGTGACAACCTTAGGGCTGAGATAGAGTCCACACCAAGATCAAAAATATTGCTTGATAAAGATATGTTTGTGTGCTCGCCCAGGAACTCTCTCGTCGTTGATAGGACCAGTCGCTGAGTGTAATTGATTGGCTCAGAAGTTGCGCTTGAAGACGGTGACAGTTGCATCAGTTTCTCCGGGGTAAGCGTGCGGAAAAGTTGATTGAGCTGTTTGATGTCTGCCTTATTGTTTGGAGAAAGCGGTATTCTTGGAACTTGGAAGATGTATGAAGGAACCATGTACCCCGGTAGAGTATCTCTGCAGGCTTTTTGAACAGAACGGACGAGGGCGGCAGTATTTGCTTCGCTCAAGACCTGGAGTTCGCTCTTCGAAGCACCCGTTGAGTTGCAACTGAAGAACGTGACCAAGAGATCCTTGTCGAGACTGCCGTGCTTGGTCACCAAAGTAGCAACATCGCTAACTTGACGAACCCTAGTTCGAATTGAGTGGTTGATCTCTCCTATTTCCAGACGCTGACCTCTCAACTTGACTTGGTCATCAGCACGGCCAAGGAAGTCAAAGCAGCCATCGTGTAGTACTCTGACCAGGTCTCCGGTGCGGTAGACACGCTCCCCATGTCTTTCCAGGAAGGGAAATCGCTCCTGAGTCAATTCAGGTCGCTTCAAGTAACCTTTGCCAACAAGTTTCCCTGAAACACAGAGCTCTCCGACACCGCCTCTCATGACCGGAATGTCTGTGCCTGGGTGCAACACATATGATCCAACGTTGTCGAACTGTTTGCCAATATTCGATGCCCTTCCGTTCTGTGGTACACGTTGATACATGGTGACCCCGATGGTTGCTTCAGTCGGACCATATGCGTTGTAAATGACACCAATAGGGCCCCAAACATCAAGGATCTCCTGTTTGAGAGCTTCTCCTCCGGTGATGAAGACTCCTCTTGAGAGACTTGGAACCTCGACTGGATCGAGAAGACGGGCCAAACTAGGCGTCAAGTCGATATGCGTAATGCCGAGGCGCTGAATTGTACCGGCGAGGTCGTCAAGAATCAGATCCCTAGGCGCTCCGACCAGAGTCATCCCCACCGACCAGCTCCAGTACTGTTCTAAAACAGACACATCGAAGTGGAACGATGCAAATTGCAACCATTTGGACGTCTCGTCCCAGTGTCCATCAAACAGCCTCTGGAATGCCTTCATGGCCTGGACTGCATTCTCGTGGGTTATCTCGCATCCTTTGGGCGTTCCAGTGGTGCCAGATGTGTACAGACAATAGGAATTGTCTTGCACGCTTAGACCTTCGGGAGGATTGAATTGTCTGGGCTGGTGACTTAGTGCAACGTCGTCTACATGGATGACAGGCTGCTCAACGGCAAAGTCGATATCGACATTAGTCAATAGTGCCAAGGCGCCAGAGTCTTTGAGAATGAACTCCTTTCTCGCCTTGGGTGCCGAAGGGTCCAAGGCTAGAAAAGCGCCGCCTGATTTGAGAATTCCAAGAATCGCGAAGCAGGCCTCCGGACACTTATCAAAGTGGATTGCAATGGTCTCGCCAACTTTTACGTGAGGCGACAAGACATGCGCGACCTGGTTTCCCTTCTCGTTGAGCTCCCGGAAAGACCATTGTCTAGAGATCGGGTTGTCGCCATTGAAACCGGTCACAAATTCCAGGGCAATCTTGTCAGGATGAGTCTCAGCCTTGGTCTCGACAAAGCTGTGGAGGAAAGGTTCTTTGGAATGAATTGTAGGCTCCAGGGGAGGTATGATGGAGAAAATTGACGGATCAGTAGCCCATAGGTCATCTGCGGTCTGCTCCGGGCACTGGACGAGATGCCTTAGCACTGCGTCGAATTGGTCTAGCAAATGAACTGCTTGAGTCTTGGGCAAAATATCGGTTTTGAAGGAAAGACGCAGTTGGATCTTTCCTTCGGGAAGCGGCTCGACTTCAAACGAAACTGGATAATCCAAGTTGCCCTCATCGCTGACAACTTCCCATGGGAAGTCAGGGCCGACGTCAGTCGGCATTCGTTGATACACGAGTAGAGTATCGAAAACTCTTGTATTCGGATATCCAAGCCATCTCTGAACTTGTGCCAAGGGAGCATTCTGATGCTTCAGAAGCTGATTGCTGTAGTCAAGCATCTGTTGAACGAGCTCAGAGTTTGATGAGCTGTTGTGCGCGATGACAGGCAGAGTAGTGATGCATGGGAGAACAATGTTCTTTGTCTCATCGCTCATGCGACCAGACAAGACGATGCCGAACACTACATCTTCTTCGCCAAGATACGCGGACAGGATACGGGTCCAAGTGGCTTGCAGGACACCCTGGATTGATACACCGACTCTCTTCACGTTTCCGGACAGCTGCGAAAAGTCCATGCTGGAAAAGCGTTTTACAACCATCAGTTCGGGAGACTTTTCCGTCAGGGGCGTCAGGGTTGGGAACCGATTGACAACGACTTGAGCAGCCTTTTGCTTCCAAAAAGTTTCTGCTTGGCTAGCATCAAGAGAAGCTTGAAGAATTTTCGAGAGCCCATTCTCGATAGAGGCATGCTGGAACATGGGCTTTCCGGAGATATATGATGATAGATCCCGAAGAAGCAACTGCAATGAGTATGCATCGTAGAGTGCATGGTGCATAATCAGATGCATCGTTATGCCTGAAGTCGCTGATTCGAGAGCTAAGGCCCAAGGGGGTTGCGGCATTGAGCTCAAAATCTCGTGCGCAGTATCTAGTTTCCACTTTGTGACACTAAACGGCTCGGACGCGCTATTGTGAACCGTGAGACGTAGATGGCAGCGTGTGCCCGGGATCTGCACCATTGCAAAAGATGCATCTCGATGTTGTATGGAGATGAACCCTGTCCTCAGGATTTCATGGTGGTCAAGCAAGACAGCCCACGCCTTCTGAAGCAAATCAAAAGAAATGTCTTCGCTGAGCGCAAAAGACATGTAATTAAGGTAGTCTTTACCCTCTGACTGGATGAAGTCGTTCATCATAGCGGATTGCAAAGGCGAACATGGCAGAATCTTGTCGAAATCACCAGCTGAAGAGTCCCTGACTTCCCGGTCGAATTTCGTAAAGTCATATTGACGGGTATCTTGCGCGGGTACAACGTGTAGCCGAGTGGCCAGTTTCGCACAAGTAGGAAATTCGATGACGTCCAAGGCAGACAACTCCAGACCTCTCTTCCGCATCATGGCTGCAAGTTGCACTGCATTGATGCTGTCAAGGCCTAGCTGGAAGATAGTTGTGGTTTTGCGGATATTCGAGGCTGGAACCTGTGAGAGCTCGGCGATGATCGATCGGAGCTGGTCTTCATCTTGGCTCCACTCTTCGGTGACGAAAGGGACTTCTGCGTCTGACTGTTCGGTTGTCTCTGAAATCTTCTCGACTTTGAGGCGTTCAAGGGCCCGCCTTGTTTCTGGCGCCAAATGATCTCGTGTAGGAACACCGGAAGCAGGGTGGGTCGCTATGTGTTGAGCAACAAACAAGAACGTGTCGAGCAGTCCAATGGCGGCTTCTTGTGTCATGAAAGGACTGCACTGAGGTTAGTTTAACGTTCTCCTTGCCAGTTAGCGGTCTGCGACATACCTGTTAGAGTGAAGTCTAACGATCATCAGGTCACGGACCGGGGACGGGACCAATTCACAAACGAGAGGTACCTGTACATTTCCCATTAGCTCTTTCTTTCCTCACAAAGTTGGATCGACCATCGAAGTCAATACTTACATCCATGGTACCATTATCCTCAACTAATTCCCAGATCCCAGAAGCACGATCTGGCCTAGGTTGCTGAAGGAGGAGAAGCGAGTCAAATAGCTGTCTACCGCTCTTCGAAACCTGATTTTGAATTGAGCGCAAGGGGGTGAACTGATGCTCCAATAGGCGAGGATTGATGTTCTGAAATGTCTTGAGGAGAGCTGCACTTTCCGTTGATGACGGGACTTCGACTCTGACAGGCAAAGTATTGAAACAAGGAGCGACTAAACGGTCAATACCATCCACTGCCAGAGCCCTGCCGCTCATGACGTTTCCAAAGCAAATATCTGACTCCTCGTATACCAGAGTCAGGAACACAGACCACGCTGTCTGGAAGTATGATAGAACCGAGACGCCCGAAACCTTGCACATAGTTTGCATTTGGCCGAGGGACATAACAAGCGGCTTTGACGTGACAATAGTCGTGGCTGACCCAGGAAGTTGAGAGCCCCCAGCTGAGAGAATGTGCTGAGTGGGCTTGAAGGCTTCGAAGTGGTTCTTCCAGAAACTGCTTGTTCCATCGGGTGATTGAAGAATCTCTGCCAGAATAGGCTCGTACTCCAATGGAGCCGGGAGAGTCTTGCCGGCTGCGAGCTGCTCAACCTCCGCAAGGAGTGCCTCCATTGCCACGCCGTCATAAAGCGCGTGATGACAGGCAAATGAGAGGTAGTCATCTCCTGCTATCCTGAGGATAGCGAGTGAAAGCGGTGGGATTTTCGAGTCTACTGCACCGGGCAACCCTTCCGCGTGTTGACTGGCTGCTTCTTCCAGACTGCCTACCTCAATCAGGCCCCACGCCATGGGCACAGAGTCTAGCACAACTTGTGCTACGGCACGTTTCGGGTCTCTAGTAGACACAAAGCATGTCCGAAGGATGCCATGTCGGTGGTGCATATGCTCCCAGTGGCCCTTCATGTCCGTATCAGAGATGTGTAGTCTGAAGATCATCTGGTTTGAGTAGGTTGACCCTGTCGTTGATGAAAGCATGGCCTCTTGAAGCGGGGTGCATGGCAGAACCGAAGAAACCGATTGCCCATCTTTTGTAAATTCTCGCTTGACTTCGTCAATAAACTCTTGAGGGAACAGCGTAGAGCCACTAGAAATTGTGCTTGAGGAGGTAATCGGTGTGTCGGCAAGTATCTCCTGGGCCAAGCGAGCTATGCAGCCTGTCCGAAGGACCATCGAGACTGGGACTCTTCGGCTGAAAGAAGCTTGCAAAGACCTCGCAAGTGAGATTGCGGATATAGAGTCTAGACCAAGAGCAGCAAAAGGCTGCCATCGAGCAATTTGATCTGCCGCGACTTTGGTAGTCTGGGACACCGCCGTTCTGATTGTTCGTTCCTCTTCAGACCAAAACTTTTCGTCTTCCTTCTGCTGAAGAGAGCCTGCAGCGCGGTCGATGTAGTCTCGATCTAAGCCGCGGAAAGATGCTTGAAGCCTGGCCCTGTCGACCTTGCCACTAGATGTCAACGGCACGGAACTGATTGGAACCAGGTAGCTCGGGACCATGTAGGCAGGTACGCGGGATTGAAGAAGGCTGAACAGGGTATTGTTTGCTTGGAACAGTCCTTCGTCGATAGGCAAGGTCCTAAAGCCATCATGGGATTGTTGAGCAGGTACATAGAACACAGCTAATTGAGACGTGGTTGCAGTTGCGTTGCTGACGATGACTACTGCGCTTGACGTAACAATACTAGAGGTCGTGAGGATGCTGCCAATTTCGCCAGTGTCAATCCGTTGTCCACGTAATTTCAGTTGGTCATCCATTCTTCCAAGGACCATCAGAGATCCATCTGCAAGCATTCGTCCCATGTCGCCTGATCGGTAGATTCTACCGAAATACGGGTGGTCGAGGAACTTGGAGTCAGTGAGACTCTTCATCCCCAGATAGCCAGCTGCAACTTGGTCTCCTCCAAAGCAGAGCTCGCCAACACAGCCAATGGGAACTGCTTCGTTCGCTGTAGAGCCGAGAACAAAGGTCGAAGTGTTGTCAAATGAAAACCCAAGATGGTCGATGAAGTCTCCGGGCTTCATCTTCTTGACTGTGCAAATGTTTGTGGTTTCGGCCGGGCCATATCCTACAAAAGTGATTAGCTCAAAATCAAGCCTGGAAAGCAGTTTGAAGCATACCTTGATATAGGAAGCCGGTCCATTTCTCTGCAACATGTGCAGTCATGGGTTCTCCGGCAGTAACAAGAAAATTAACTGCGGGCACCTTGCGAGGGTTGACCAAAGAAGCAACCGTCGGCGTCATGCTGAGATGAGTGCAACCGAAAAACTGGATGGCACGCTCCAAGTCCTCAAAAAGGGTATCATTGGTACCAGAGCACAGACATGCTCCAATCTTCCAAGTAAAGAAAATCTCAAAGACTGAGACATCAAACGCTTGTGAACATGCTTGGAGGAAACGAGAAGCGTTGCTATGGGGGTATATCCTGGATAAAACGTCGAGGTTGCTCACGATATTCTTCTGTGTGACTACCACGCCCTTTGGTGTGCCTGTGGTTCCAGACGTATAGATGACATACGCTGGTCGTGAAGGGTCTGCCGACAAGCCCAGGTTATTCTCCATGGTGCCGGGCATGTCGATTGACAGGGCGTCCACAAATTGACAACTGGAGAGATCGCCTAGAGTTGTGGAGATAGCCGCATCGGCAATACAGATTGTGACCTCGGCTTGTGTCAAAATGAGCCGGATTCTGTCATTCGGGGTGGTGGGTAAGAGAGGCAAGTATGCGCAGCCAGCCTTGAGAATACCCAGAATGGCGGCATACAAGCAGACTGACTTTTCCATGATTATGCCCACAATGCCGCCCTCTCTCGCGCCTAGCTTACGAAGAAGCCTCGCGATTCTGTTAGCCGAGGTATTCAGGCTGCTGTACGACATGGTGTCAACATTTCCATCATCAACAGATCTTGCGAATCTGATGGCTGTGGCATCAGGCGTGGCACTTGCCGAGTGCTCAAACATTGCCGCCAGATCCGGGACCGTAGAGAGAGTTGCAGGATGGGCGTTGAAGATGGAAGTGAGCTCTGGGGGGAGTGATCCCCCGATATTCTCCACTTGGCTTTGAGGCTCGAGTATAAGGTGTGAAACCACCGAGTCCAACTGTTCCATCAGAATCTCGGCGTGTTCTGTCGTAAATGCGGTGGTGTGGTATGTTAGGCGACAAACCGAGCTCTCAGCGGAAGGCTCAACTTCGACCAGAAGGCTGGTCTCTAGAAAGTCCTGATGAGACATTTCCCGAATACGTCCCTGTTTTGCTTGCTGACTGTAGAGTGACTCTTGATAGACAAACAGCACATCGAAGAGGGCGTCCCCGAGGTTTACGCCTGCGATTCTCTTGATGTCTGCCAACGGCAATATGCCGTGTTGTAGCGCGCCACGGTTCGTAGCCTGGATGTGGCGAACAAGGTCGACAATAGTCGCAATCCCGGCTAAGTTGACTCTCAAAGGCGTTGTCATGATACAAGGTCCCATGATGCGCTCAATGCTCGTTACCGGAATGGTCCTGCCTGACGAGACTGAGCCAATTACAAGATCCGTCTGTCCTTGCAACCCGGCCCAGAGCCACAGCGTAGCAGCTTGGAAGAAGACTTGAGGGTGGCATTGAAGACGTGTCGCGGTCTCCTCCAGGGCGCTTTGCGAAATGTTCATTGTCCTAACTACCGTCTGAGTCTCGACGGTATCAGCAGGGCGGCCCATGAGACGCGGTAGGTTATGTCGTTGCCAACCAAGCAGATGATCCGCCCAGAATTCACGTGCCTCATCCATGCGTCTTTGATTAGCAGGTTCCGCATAGAATCTGGAAACGTCTTGGAACTGCGGTCTGGTTTCGGGTACTCCGCCGTCGACCATTGTAGAAAAGTCTTTGATCAACATATCGGCCGACCATCCGTCGTAGAGGGCGTGATGCATCTGGAGAAGCACGCTTGACCCAAGGTCTTGCTGGCTTTCCAGAATTTGGACTCTGAGAGGACGCAAGTAATCCTCATCAGAAGCCAGACAATAATTCTCGTCCAGTTGGGGGACAATTTGAACAGAAGACTGAGGAAGCTTGCTGTAGATGATTTGTGCGAACCTGCCATCAAGTGACGCGAACCCCGACCGTAAGATCTCGTTGTTCTGTGCAATCTGGTATGTCCACTGCAAAACTTCCTGCGCCGTAGTTTTTGCCGGAAATTGAAGCTTGATCCAGTTGCAATAGGCCTGTGGATTGGCTGATGTCTCTGCTAGCATTGAGTTTTGCAGAGGTGTGCACATTTGAAGGCGCGTAATTTCGTCTTTCAAAGAAGTCAGGTCCGCTCGTTGCTCCAGCACCTGGTCGATGTGTATCTCGCAGGGATCGCTGTGACTAAGCGCGTGGTCTTCTTGGTCTGTTGTTGAGATTGATCCCGACGCTTTCAGAGAGGCGAACAGGGCTGAAAGAGTCTTGAAGCTGAGGATGTCCGTAGCTGATGCTTGGAAACCGCCTTCCCGTAAAGCTGAAGCAAGTCTGATAGCCTTTAGAGAATCAATGCCTATGGATGCAAGAGAAGCCGATGGAGGAATCTGAGAACCGAGAAAGTTTGATACAATTGACAATGCCTCCTGTTCTAGTGGGCTGACCGCTTCAAAGTGGACTTTCGGTTGCGATAGTGTCGATGTCGTGGTTGTGTATTCGTTCTTGAGTTGCTTCCGGTCCACCTTGCCCGAGGGCAACCTGGGGAAGCTTGTCTTGATAACGATATCACCGGGGACCATAAAAGACGGGAGCCATGTACGGCAAGTGTTGAGAATGTCTTCCACGTAATCTGCCGGAGCAAATCCTTCATCAATGGCGCAAAATGCAACCAAGATCCCCCCAAGAACCATGGCAACAGCGCTGTGGCAACCGGTGGTTCGCATTGCCGCTTGCTCCACTTCGCCGAGCTCAATTCTCTGGCCGCGCAGCTTGACCTGCCCATCTGATATCCTCCCAAGGCATTCCAGAGTCCCATCTGAGTTTATAATGGCTTTGTCTCCGGTGCGGTAAACGCGGCCGTAGGGAGTATCAAAAAATGCCGCATTCGTCTGTTCTGGCCTGTTGAGATAACCGTTGGCGAGTTGATGTCCTCCTACGACAAGCTCGCCGAGTTTGCCTTTTGGAAGTATGTTGAAGTTGAAGGGGGAGCCGTCCTCGGGAATGGCGACGACAAAACACGAGACAGAATCCAGGGGAAACCCGATATTCGAAGAAGGACAATCCGTAGGGTATCTTGGTCTAAGTGTGCTACGAATCATTAGTTTTCTTGGCGTCAATATAGACATGAAATGACTTACCAGTGGATTGCAGCCTCGGTTGGGCCGTACATGCCCCATAACATGCTGTCCGATACATTGCTGCCGCCAAATTCGCGGACAACGGACTCTGTCAACATCTCACCAATCGTCAGAAGGAGCTTCAGACAAGGAGCGTTTTGTCGCGAGCGAAGGAGACTGCCGGCGACTGTAGGCGTCAACTCGCACGCATCAACCTGCAAAGTCCTGATGACATCAGGAAGGTCGTTGAGCATGCGACCACGATCGCACGTAACTAGTGTTGATCCACGAAGAAGAGGGAAGAAAATTTCGAATACTGATACATCGAAAGTCGGCGAGGCAAATTGAAGGAAGCGCCTGAAAGTTGGAATATGCCGACCATGGGCGAGAAGACTTTGTGTTGCAGCGTCGTGCGAGACTCCTACGCCTTTTGGCGTGCCGGTTGACCCAGAAGTGTACATGACATAGGAAAGATGCTGAGGCTCAATATGCCTGATTGGGAGACTTGGTGATGAATTGGGAGCATCAATGACTTCTTCGTCGACGATTAAGACAACCCTTTCCGCATCGTCTCGGGGAATCTTTGATACCAAGGCGCGTGTGACAAGAACGACTTTTGCCGATACGTCTTGGAGAATGAATCTGACTCTCTCAGGAGGTGCATCTAGATGCAAAGGGCAAAAAGCACCGCCGGCTTTGAGGATAGCCAGCATCGCGATATACAGATGTGAGCATTGGGGGATGAGTATCGGGATAACAAAATCATCCGACACGGAGGATATCGCCGGCAAACGAGAGATCCGCGTTGCTAGGGCATCCGCGGCATCATGGAACTGAGCGTAAGAGAGAGTTGACTCTTCTCCATGGCTATTGAGTGAGTGAATCGCTGGCAGCGATTCATCTGATGTAAGCTGCACAAGTTGGTGAAGCAGGCGAGGTCCCGGGACCCGAGTTGGGTGAGGATTCAGGATAGAGAGCTGGGACTCCAGCTCGGCGTCGGTCATGTTGGCCTCGTCGTCGTTCAACAAGAAAAGATGCTATTCCCAAACTGATGAGAAATTCTCAGTGGCTCTCCTAGAAAGCTGTAAGAAGTGGTCCGATGCACACAGCTCTTGATTAACCGTAGCATTACAAAGGGTATCCAGGTATTAGTCGGGGCCCTCTTTTCAACGGGAAGCGCACGACGGTCAATGCGCCCGAGTCCAGATCAAGATGGACCTGCAGCTAGAGGTCCAAGAGACCACGCGCTGGGACAGGTCTTCGTCCAATAAGACAAGTGATGATTCACAGATCCGGTCATGTAACGGCGTGGTTCCTTAGTTGGGTGCTGAACAACATGCCATGGGGGTAATGCGAGGGGTTGACACGGGGTCGGCTGCAGGTCTACTGGCCTGTAAGATTGCAGCAATTACTCAGCTGGTGGGAAACGTCGAGCGATTCTGCAGCACAATCCAGAAAGGTCGCCAGAGCTTCTTGTGTCGATGATGAAATATGGAATCGTTCATTCGTGGATGATGACGGCGTGTTGGCGCGAGCTGCCTAGCTCAAGACGGCTCGGCCCTGTGCGTAGGGCTATCTGTGACCTGTGCGTATGTCGGGCGTGTGACAACTCCCGGTGCGACGGTAGACTGACAAGGAGATACAGGGGAGGTAAGGAGCGCTGCAGAATAAAGATATGGATTGTTGGTGATCTACCACTGGTTGTCTCTTTGTATGGGCGTATATGCGTGGGTGTGCGTATGTGTGTGTGTGTGTGTCCGCTGGCTGAAGAGCTTTATCAGAAGCGCAGACTAGACAAGCTACCGCGCTTGCAGCACACAAAGAAAACGACCAAGAGAGTCCCCCGCCCACCCCCCCGAGCGGACCCTGATGTGGCTGACGGGGGGCAGCGTCAGGTGTGTTGGTCGCCTTGGGCGACTTACACACAAGTTCCTGGTCACCATCCGTAAGCTTGAATGGTTATGACTTGTGAGATTTCCATCCCACGCTCGTTTCCAGGTTTGGCGGAGGATGCACAAGTTTGAGGCCAGGCATCGGCCCTCCAAATTACTGAAAGAGAGGACCCAGATGACGGGGGGGCATTTCCGGCGCTTATGGCGTCATGGCTTAATAGAGCTCGCCGCGCTGCCCGAGGGCGAAACGCCGCTCCTTGCTATGAAATAAGCTTCGACGGCCCGTTCAGTGCTCTATGACTGCCTCAGCCTGGACGGCGTTTACTCGGATGTGTAACGTAAGACCGGAAGTCTGCGGACACGACTACCGCTGCAGTGGCGAGCCTGCACGGCATGCCGATGGCCGGCAGCCTTATCCGATCTTGTCTTCAGGCAAAGCTCTTGACAGCTGCTGTGCACCATGGAACCCGTTCTTCGACATGCATCCCCGCCCGCAGTTGAATCAAGTGGGAGCGATGTTGCCGCCTCCGAGGCACTGGCTTTGGCGGGAAAAACGGGTTTCGAGCTTGGCCGGCCGCCGGCCGTCTCCGGTAAAAGACGTCGAAGCCCCAAAGCTTGTAGCTGCTCATGTATCACGCTCCGCAGCCAACAACCCACGACGGAATTTCTAACGTCGGATGAAGGCACGGCAGGTTCGGATTAAACATGTGCTGGGATTTTGCAGAGATGCACAAGCAGGGCGCGAGATCTGACGGCGCATCCAGAACAGGCCATTTTCCCCCAGACGCCACGCCATGATCCGCGTCGATGCTCGGCCATGTTCGCGGCGGCTGGCCGATCTCGTCTGACTGCCGGATAACGGTTTCTATAAGCGGCAAACTCTCCGGGCACTCGCCTCTGGAAGCCATCAAGAGGGCGGTACGGAGGACGACGGCGCGGGGCTCTTTTGGGGAACCACTTAACCACCATGTCACTGGTAACTGGCCGAGACGACAAGATGGTGGTGGGAAGAAGGCATCTGGCTGGTCAAATTTCGCCTGCACATGGTGGTTTTATCTGGATCGCTTCGTCTGTTGCTTCGTCTGGTGTGGTATCCACAGGTAGGCATGAGCCGGCGGGATGGTATGTACTGTGATCAGGAAGCATATGTTATGAATTAGGTTCATTCCATGTGCGCACGCAGGCGAGTCGGAGCAACAAGCTGTAATAGTCGCCTAGTATGTTTGTGTTTCGATCTCTGGATGCGAGGGATGGGTTTGGAGAATGACCCTGGCCAAACATAGGCGCCGGGAAGAGAGGCTAATGGAGAAAGAGTCGCCATCTGGCCGTGGGGTTACTGTCACAGGTCTGCGGTCGTGTCACATCTCCGACCCGTCTACGTGGAGGGGCGATGTATCGCTGTAAGAGCCAAAGACGCGAAGTGTGGCCCAGATGTGGGGGTAGACTGAGTCGAAGGCAGTACGTAATTCAACATCGGAAAAGAACGGCCAGTGCCTTTGAAGACCGTACTAGATGGAAAGGACGAGTTCCACTCATGGCCTGCGAGAGGGTTGAAAGAGGCCAGCACTGAAGTGAGTACGCGTCCATCGATGGTGAGGACAGGGTAAGGCAGTCTCTAGGATGCGGTCAGTAACTGGCGGTGGTCAGCATACTGAGTCTTGGGAATGTCCTGAGAGGCAGTGGTTTGGGTTCAGTTCCCAAAGAGTCCGAAAGAGCCAGCCAGACGTCACGGGAGGCTGTCTGGATTCTGCAGTCTGCAGCTTGGTGAGCGTCCAGCGTCCAGATCCCGGCGGCGATGCCCCAATACCCGTTGTATCCCCTCCTTCGGAAACATGGCGACTCGGCGAGCTATGGGATGGCTAGGGATGGCTAGCGGTGGGATGGGATGGGACGGAGGTTTGGATGATGTCGGTGGATGTCGCCAGCGCGTCGTGGTGGATGGATCGGACGGGTCCAGGGAATAGAAAGTGTGGGTGGATGAGTGGATGAATGCCGCAGGACACGGCGAAGGAAAGTCTAGGTTGACTACCTACTCGGGTATGGACTGGATAGTATTCTCGGGTGCGAGAGGGGCGGCGGGATTGAGCCGTACTCGGTGGTTCTTGGTCGGCAGTCGGTGGTGCTCGTGGTATTGCAGAAATGGGATTGGAACCTTGGTAATACTCCGTATACCTCACGGGCATGGCGAGAGTCTGTCTGGTTGAGAAGTAGCTGCTTTGGCGAAGAGTGAAAGCGAGGAATAAGGCAAGTTGGGTAGGCAGGCAATGAGCAAGTGCAAAGTCGGTTATGCAGTATGCGTGCGAGATGTCCCATCAGGCTCGGGGGGCAAGATATCCGTACGAATATTCTGTGCTCCGGGAGTATTCCGTACCTACCTTACCACTTACCTACACAAGAATAAGGGCAAGAAGGGGCCATCATGCAGAACTGCTGAATGGACTGAAGTGCCTGCCCGGTGAATGCTGTGTGCGAGTTTCGGCAGACGGGCGGGTGGGAATCCATGTGAAGAGATTTTCTCACCTTCCCTGTCTTGACACTTCTTGCCTGGTTCAGACGAGCTCGGAGGGACAGCCCAGAGTGACTTCCTGCCTTCCCAGTTCTCACCCAAAGTAGCACGGCAGGTGTCTTCTCTGGGGTTCGGCGAGTGCTCCTGCTGGCTCCCGCCTCCTCCTGCTGCTGGCTGTCGCTGCTCCTGCTCGGGGCTGCTTGTTGTCGGGTCCTCGTTTGGCCCGACGGCACTTTCCCATTTGCAGCCAACTGCAGTCGGGTAAGGTACAACTCGCAAGTCTGCACCTGCGTGCCTGCTCAGGTTCGCGGAGAACTCGAAGAAGTGAGGTAAGGTACCTTCAGGTAACGTACCCAAGTTAAGGTACATGTGCATTCAGCGTGCCATGGAACGCCCACCTCATGCTCATGCTCATGCTCATGCTCATGCCCATGCCGCATGTCGAATTTTTCTTCAGGTGCCGGTTCCCTGCCTGCCTGTCACTGTCTGCCTGCCCGCTTTCGCCCTCCCTGCGTCCGACATTTTTCTGTCGTTGTCACCACCTACTTTACGGATACATACCAGGTAGTGGACGGATACCCGTGCTTATTTTACCACTCACAGATGCAGGAAAGGCTGTGGATGATCGCCAGTGGATGCGTGGTGGGTTTGACGCTAACTATGCCATGGATTTCGCGGATTCCTCATCCATGGGGTGGCTCATGAGTCCCGTCCTGGCAGGGAAAAAGCCTCGTCAGGACCAGGGCTTAGGTTCATCGAGGGTCGGACGGGGGCCATCGTGGCATCGTCACTGGGCCCAATACAGCAGGTACGTACGCCTTACCTAATTAGACCCGGATCTTATCAGATTTAGATA